GCCTTTAATCTTTTGTTGATATTAAATGTAATCAGTATCAGTTGATAAACCATAGACGATGGACTCTGAACAATGCAGCAAACAAAATAAAGCAGCTGTTATACCTCGCAAAGAAGGATATAACAAACACATCTAAAACAAACACAAAAACGCAGACGAGATGACATTCTGCAGTTTTAATGGAGTAAAAAGTGGTGTTTACATACAAAACGAGAAAAAAGCGACTGAAGTACGTAAAATACCCAAAAGATATGCATTGATCAATAGTCACATCGATTTGGTTGACATGGTTGATTGTATACTTTGTTACTCAATAACGCACAATTTCGAACATTTTTTAATCTAAATCAATATATCTGATAACAGTTCTTGTTTGTGATTTGGTATTAAATTTGTCTTTAAAATATTAAGATAACACTTATTAATTTTGATCCGCTATCAAGTAGTTGAAGAAATATGGAAGAAAATACATAAATCAGTTATAATATCAAAATAAATAAATTATTTAACTTATCTTTAACTATTTACTTATTTTACTTATTCATTTATTATAATGATTTATTTACTTAATTGTTTTAGATAATTTAATCATTTATTTATTTATTTATTTATTTATTTATTTTAGGAATCATAAGAAAAATGCAACAAAACCCGAGTTATCGAAAGTGCACCTTACTAACTTGTCAGCCCGATCAATCTTGAAAAAGATAATTATACATTTTGTATACTAAAAATTAATGATTATATTATTTATAATTACACATGAATATATCACGCTTTATGCCCGTTATCATAAGTTGGAAAGATAAATTGATAAAATTGTAATTTGTGTTACACGTAATATCAACTTATCAACTGTAATTCAATATGCGTTATTTGTAAATAAGTTTTGATTTCTTTTCTCATTAATTCTGGAACCATTGTAAGTACTATTCGTATATCCAAAATATTAACATGGCACATTCTTACCCCCTCCCTCATTAATATACCACCAGATAAAGCTGTTTATAGTTTGTCTAGTAAATCATATAACCATAATATTAACATGGCAGATTCTTACCCCCTCCCTCATTAATATACCACCAGATAAAGCTGTATATAGTTTGTCTAGTAAATTACTTTAAAAACTGCATTCTTCAGATATTTGTAGTTTTTATCAAATGAAACGAACCAAAAACTCATTTGAAATTAATTACTTGTTGTATATAAATAAATTTGCTTGAAGCAAAATAATGTCGATATAGACAGGGTTCGGGTGGTAACTATTGTTTGACTGTAGTCGATGCAATGCGTGCATATACAGTGATCGAAAAGCCGTTGGAACAAGACAAATCGCGCATAAGGTGACGGTTTAACCACAGTTAAGATTCGTAACATCTTTATAGTCTAAGTCAGTTTTAGCCGAACTACTGTGACCAAAGCACACGAACCTTGTTATTATAAAAAAGAAAGGAATATCTTGAAAAATGAGCTGACTTGTTTTGTCTGCTATTCTGCTTGTGCTTCAATAATGACCGTAACGTATTTCAATCACACAAGGAATCAGGTTCACTTATCACATTTTATTTGAAATTTTACTTTTATCAATTTTCAACAGCTTTTGCCAGGTGTTAAGTAACAAAACTAGGTTCAATAACATGAACTACTCAAATTGTGCTAAGCACCATATGATTGTGTGTGAATATTTTTGGGATAATTTTATTTATGCCGTGTGAAAGGTTTAAATGTTGATTTACTGTTTTATCAATTTAGCTGAAGTACGAATTTAACGCTATAAATTATTTTTACACTAATTTTGTGCTAGAGAAGAGCATGACACCCCCAACTCTTTGAAGATTTCAGAACATGCAGCGTGTTTTGCAAATTTGTGAAATTGTTCTTTTTTTTCACAGTTTTAAAATAAATACCATGTGTGTGACCCGTGACTATCAATGACAGCTTGGCAGCGCCTTCGCATACCCCTAATAAGTTTCTGATCGTTCAAACGGATATGACTGCCCATTCTTGTACCAGCATAGCTCCAATCTCCTGGATGGTTCGGGGTTGCATCTGACGAGCTGAAAGTCTAACCTGCAGCTCATTCCACATGTGTTCTATTTGATTTAAGTCAGGTTAGCGAGCTGACCAGTCCATGTACTCAATAGACTCCCTCTCAAGGAAGTCCTGGACCACCCTGGTCCTATGGGGGTGAGCATTATCGTCCATTAGAATGAACTGATCGCCGACTGCTCCAGCATACAACTTAAGCTGGTTGTCTAACAACCAGGTCGGTTCGTCCATTCCAGCTTATGCCTTCCAACACCATTACTGATCCACCTCAGCAATATTTTCAGCCTGAAACCGTTCACCTCGTCCTCTCCTATCATGCCTATCTGTGAAGTCTATCTGTGGACTCATCAGTGAACAGAACGTGTTTCCAGTGTTGCATGGTCCACCGTGTTTACGCCATGGCTCATTCCAAACGGGCCTGGCGATGTCGACTAGTTAATGAAATACGTACGCAAGGTCTTCTCGACCACAAATTACCTTCCTGTAGCCTTCTACGCACAGTCTGCGTGGAAACACGGACCCGAGCAGCATTAGCAAGGTCATTAAGAAGAGAAGTTGCTGGCAAAAAACTTGTACAACGTGCCTGAACGACCAAAAACCGATCCTGAGCTGATGTTGTGACTCTTTGCCGACCTCCAGCGTACCATGTAGCCGGTATATACCCAGGCTCTTGTGATAACCCTGCTTCTCTCAAATGCCGACTAAAGTTAACATTTTCCATATCGAAGTTACAGATGTAAGAAATATAAGTCACTGAATGACAATAAGCCGGTAATGTCGCCGTATAACAAAAGACATGTGATTGTACACGCATCAAAATATTGAAATATTAGGGTGCAGAGTGTCCATGCTACCTAGATAAGTTGTAACGGATAGACAACACGGATTCGTGTCAGGGGACTTAATACATTGCTTAATCAGAATTTTCAAAAAAGATAGAAAGAAATCTGTTTATACTTGTGATAATATAAAGATTAACTTATGGTGCTTGGCAAAATGAGAGTAGTAAACAAAACATACTTTTTGGATACAAATAATATATAACCCTCTAAACATGCAAAGAATTTTTAAATTGCCTAAGTTTTATTAAGGTATTTTTATTACTTCTTAAATTTTTACGTATTACTACTAAGTAAGATGTAGTTATTGAAGATCTATATGCATAGGACAGCAAATCTATTCTTTAGTTCTACATTGAATTCGCACACAATACGTGACACTTAAGTTTCAATTTGAAGAAACTAGATTTCTAACTTTCATTTATTCAGCTAATTGAAAACAAGTCAAATTAGTTATTGTAAATATTTAACTGCAATAAACGTTTAAAATTACTGTCCGATGAGACTGATCTACGAGAAAAGAACACTGAGTTAAATGTCAAATTTACTACATACATCTGTTCATTTTTACTATACATCAATACGAACCAATGCCTAAAGTATCGTGAACATGTTCATCAGCCTCATCTTTCAGGACACATATCATACATGCTTTTACAGTAGTATACATGTATGTTAAAATGTGTAATAAAAATAAAAGCTTTTCGGTGCACTTTTAGCCGTTATTGTGTTTTCATTTACATGTTTCTTGTAGGTTGTGTGTGCCGTCATTTGTAAGGGAACTACATGTAGTTAAAATAGACAGTGATTACAGTCTGTAACTTAGAACGAACCGATGGCAAAATTTTACGTAAAATTTTATCGTCATTTTCACATGCACATGATCAATCAGTATTAGATAATATATGTGCGCTTTTACAAACTCTTGTTTTTAAAATGAAACTTTAAGTTTTAATCATACTGCTAAATTAAGACCCACACACTATTTTCCCGTTTGAATATTTCTAAATACATTTATCTATGTCAAGAACAGCCTGTTAACATTCCACTTGTGATGAATTTAAGTGGTCATTTGCAGAGAATGTAGTTAATTAATTATCATCATTTGTCCAGAATGTCCATGTTTGTGTACAAGCTTCAAATCATGTACACTTCATCTTATCATGTTTAGGTCTCCAAAGATACACAGCTCATGAAACTTGTTCACTAAATAAAACGTTACAAACATTATAGAACAATGTACATCTAACGGGTCATAGACGTTTAGTTTGCTTGTTTCTTTTTTTTTCTTTTTTTTTTTATAAAAATGTGCGTCAAACTTTTATTCTTATTGCTTTCAGTATAATCATTGTTGATGTTGTTTTTATGTATTTACAATTCATAACTGTTAGTTGTATTTTAGCATGTGCTAGTGAATGGCACATGAATTTGCTTACTACTTATTATTTTTGCATGTACGGTTACTTGCCCTAAAGCATTGTTTGGTGGTTGGAAATACTTGCGTTCCTGAACCTCGTCGACGACGCGTAGATGCATTTTTTGTACATAATTAAATGATATATTGACTACACTACTCTTTTTGTACAATTGCAAATCGGTTATAGAATATTAACAAGTATATGTTAGATTGAATATAATTATACTGATCTTAAATTTAAGTTTTAGTGTCAATATATATATAAAAAGACCATTGTTGAAAATATAGTTGACAGTCATAATCAATTTTCACTGTATTAGGTTGCAATGGAATCTTAACAATGCAGAATAAAGCAGCTGCTATATCTATTATAAAGAAAAAAATTAACAAAAAACTCTTAAAATCAAACACAAAGGTTAATTCGATGCCAGCAGACGAGACGACTACCTGCAGTCTTCAGATTTCATAGAGTGAGAAGTTATACATATATACAATGGTGTCTATACAATGAAGGAGATAAAAATAACCCGACTGAATGTAAAATTCTACAAGGCCTGCATTTACCAATATAATAATCAGATCTATTCGGTTTACATATTTGCATGCATATTTTGCTTACATAATAACGCAAATTTAAAACAGTATTGATTTGAATTAAATCAATATTTTTTATTATAGTTCTTTTGTGATTTACATTGTATATCTCTCTAACAAATATAGATCATATTTAATAACAATTTACTACTGATCGTTTATTAAATTGTTGGTTTGTTTAAGGAATAATTATGGAAGAGATATATATTAACTAAAGGGTATTTATTTTTAAATTATTTTATTAACTTTAGCTTATAATAATTATTAAAGCATGCATTTATTTTATTTTATTTATATATCTAAAAAATCATAAGACAAAAATAAACTTTTTGGAAAAGACCATTTTGGAAAAAGGAAAGCATACATTATGTTTGTCTAAAAATAAATAAAATCATTGGTTGGATTATCTACAATTACACATGTATATATAAAAACGTATCACGTTTCATGCTCGTTATTATAATTTGTCAAAGATAAAATCGCAGTTGGTTTTATACGTAGTTATATACTATAGATTTCTTTCACTGGATGTTTCTTCGTTAAACTTGAAACCATTGAATTTGTAAGAACTGTCTATATACCTAATATATATATTTAAATTCAAAATATATTCTTACTCCTTCCTCCATTAATATACCACCAGGAAAAATACTTTTATTATAGTGAGTCTAATAAATTACTTTCTAAACTCCATTCCGTATATCAAATCAAAGTACTCAAGACTTCTTTGAAATGTATCTGGCATATAAACAATTTTTGCTTGAAACAAATTGATGTGGATATAGGTAGTGTTTGGACGCTACTATTGTTTGACTGCAGCCGATTCCATGTGCGCACCCCCGGTGTCAAACAGACAAACCGATAAGATAAAGATGAATATTCGACCAGAGTTGATTTGTGACGTCACTATAGTAAACCATTATCAGTTTTGCGTTGTCTACCAAGCAAACTACTGTGACCATAGCGCCTCAATCTTGCCATACATAATTAAAGGAAGCAGTTTCTCGAAAAATGAGCTGACTAGTTTGGTCTGCTATTCTGCTTGTGAACACTCGGATAAGGACCTAAACGTATTTTAATTATACAGCGTATCAGGTTAACTTACTATAGTTTAACGATTATCAATTTTCATAATTTTTAACCCCTTTTAAAAAATCTCGACACCGTCACCCGGGAAAAAATAGAAACCATTGCTGTTAACTGTCAGCGACCTTATGAAATTCATTTTCAACAACTTGATAAACACTCTTTTCTTGAGATTAAAATCATTCAATACAATCCCTAAATATCATGTTGTAGTGATCCGTTTACAAAATGAAGGCCGCATAGCCTTTTCATGCATGTTTTGTAAAATTAACTCAGAAAATGTACTTAATAAATTTAGCGTTTGAACGTACTTTATAACTGTAATTGTGTTTTCATATACATGTTTCGCGCAATGATCTGTATTATATCATGTACAAGTAAATACCAACAACATCGTCTGTAAGGAAACATGTGAATGATTAATATATAGACTAAGTATGCGTGGTGCATGTTTGTGTGCGTCATTTCAAATATCAATATTTCTTTTGAAAGATAAAATCATTATATATCTATAAGAACTTGTTTAAATCTATAGAAAACTCAAAACGGATGCACGAGGGACTTTCAAATTTCTTTCTCGGCCAAGTAAGCTGTCAGTTTCACAACTACAATTTGCTACCCTTCAGGTATAAATCATTAAAGATGCAAGTTGTAGTTAGTGAATTTACCCGCAATTTGCTTATAAGACATGCATGTCTATATCTTATCAAGTCTCATTTTCGTTAAATGGTAGCAAATTCACTTCAGAATATCAACAAATATATATAAGAAAGTATATAATATGTTGAAATTTAGTTTAAGTTCTACAGGCAATATCGTTATCATTAGCCTTTATTTGCCTGACTTTGTAACTTTTTCACGTGTTGACAATTAATACTTACACAAAAAATGTTAGTATTAAAAGGTTAATCCCCTGATTCAAATTACTAAAATACATTGAAACTGATGCTAAATTTTACTAATTAACTAAATCATTGACGATGTTTTGAAAATCATAAAAAAAATCCATAGAGATATAGGCTGACATAGATGTAGACAAATGATAAACTATGATGTTCTAATTTGTTTTGACTGACGACTGAAGAGCTAATTTGAGTGATATAAGATCAGAGAAAATGGGCATATACGTGGCGACAAAACAACCTGAATGCTATCGATAATTTACCCTATTCCGATTTTATAGAAGAAGAAGAAGACCTCTTAACAGATCTGCAAATATATACCGACCTGTTTTTGTTCTATTGTTTTCTATACAATAGAAAATATGTGGTGTTGAGAAACTCGTGCATTACACAATATTCACCGTAAACGCAGAATTTTTTTTTTTGGGGGGGGGGGGAAACACGCTGAATTGGGCAAATTTATATGGGGGGATGTAATGACGACTTTGAATAGGAAAAATGGTCGATATATATTTTAAAGTACATTTCATCAAATCAATAGAATTAAATTAGCCCATACGGCTGTAAGGACCCTCATAACATATATTCCAGATAATTTATGAGAAAAACGAACTGGCTACTGTTCTGGCGATGAAGTTTGTGTTTCGCCGATATTAATGAGTACAATAACGCACATTTAGCCTTTCTTTATAGTTTGCTTTCCGGTATAATTAACACATTTTCCGAACTATATAGCTTCATAAGATATAAGTTTTCGGTATTATGTCTGATTTTGCAAAATCCTGCATTATTTGAACAATTCTGCATTATGGGATATATACGACGATTTGTGCATATCGAATCAAAGTCAACTTCTGGATCTTTCTTTCCTTCAGTGACAGTATAGTTCATTTTAAGTATAAGACCGTTTAATTCTTTATTTTTTCTTCAGTTTTTTTACATTACAATTTGGATTTCGTATACCAGTACTCGCCTGTTCTTGCGCTTCTATTCTAGACCGCGTGCTTACATGCGGTGTTATCAAACATATGATATGAATATTTGTATATATTAATAAAATGTTATGTTTTCACATATCAATAAATGATCTTACGTTTGCCTACTTGACAACTTCTGTTTTTATTTTCTGTGACTCAACTCAACAAGTACATTACCTGACCTTATTACTTAATGAAACCCCACGAGAAACACAAGAATATTCAAATTACACCTGATTTGTGAACGAATGAATTACAAGAGCATAGCGGATGGTATCTTTGCATGACTAAGGAATGCTTTCTAAACATGATTAAGTACATAAGTAATATGTTTCTTGTGAATAATATTAATAAATACTGAGTTAAAAACTGGTGTATGGATAGAAAATCAAAAGAGAATGTAGGTAAGATAATTTCCGCCCTCGGAATAGGTATGCATAGTATTAACAGACCCGGTGGCCTTTTAAAATCCTCGATCGCTACGCTCTCTCGGTCTTCAAATCGGCACCCCGGTCTGTAAATACTATGCAGACCTATTCCTCGCATGGTAACTATAACTTATGACTACTTTCCATTTTGTCCTTTACACCCTTCGTTTCTTACGCTAGACTATAGTTCAGTTACTAACTTTGGAATTTTAAATTCCTTTGTCTGCCACTTTTGTGATTCAAAATCTATCATTTTAGCGCACGAGTAGTTATATATCTTGGGCCAACGATCCTTTATTCTCATACCATGGTTTTATACTTACGGACAATGAAAACGCACGGCCGGGATAATTGCATTTTAACAAGGAAAATATATTTCTTTTAAATATTTTTTCAGTTTCATAAAACCGAATGCATTCCGGTAATTTAGATACCAAAGTTATAAAAATGATTGCATTTTAATGAAATTATTGCATAATAAAGATAGTACCCGAAAAAATCAAAAGTAACACTTTTGGCTAATTGTGATAAGATCACAACAGAAAACAGATTGAACCAATTCATGGTTACCTTATGAAATAAAATTTTTTTTAAACTGTTAATTATTAACTTGTTTTTCAAACCTTTCTAGAAATGTTAGACACAAATGAGCAATTAAAACCTTTATGAAAATGAATATTAAACTATGCCAATGGTCAGTTTTAGAAATCGTAAAAGCTCACATGGAAATTGCATATACACACTTTTCCTCTATAAAAGGTGCTAAATTTCAAACAAAACTGAAGACTTGCTAGCAAATTGTATGCAATGGTTCTACAAAGAAATAACCGCTGGGCAGATTTAGGACAGATTCAGTCTGGTCTATCTTACAAACAAAGCGCCAACCGTTTTGGTGTCCATCGGTCTACAATTTCTCTGCTTCACCAGCATTTTCGCACTGCACTTCAGACCGAATATCGTCAGATTCCACAGGCGACTACATGTATCTGCACTGTAAGGTCTACGAGGCGACGATGTACATCTGTAAGAGTCGCTGATGGAGGACGACGGTGACATTACGAATAGACATTTATGAGTGACTTTGTTTTGGATTTTCATTTTGGTTTTTGCCTTTGTTACGTTTGCATTACTGTGATGACAAAGTGTGCTTTTTGGATTTTCACCCGAGGTTCTTCGATTAACTGGTGTATATTTGATTTTAAATATTTTGAATTATTTTTAGTTGTTAAGTTTGCGTTTTGTATTAAAGTTATGATATATATCTAATAGAGTCATTAGTGTTTTGTTTTCATGTAATAAGATGCATAAAGTGCGGGCGTGCATTTTCATTATCCTTAAGTATATATGCAGTTTAAAAGACTGAGTCATTAAAAAAACTTCTTTAAATTAAAAAGAAGTATGTAAACTACACAGGAATTGTCTTTAGGTAAGCTAGTTCGTTGTTAAATGATCGAAGGTCATCCTCAGACCGACCTACACAACTTCTCTGAAATGACAATCAAAATTAATTTCACTTCAAATATTATTCATGTGAGCCCGAAACTGAATATAAATTTGCTGCACACTTTTTAGTAATAGAACTTACCTAGAGCAAAATAGATCAAAACTATAAAACTTTGATTTTCTGCGCTGCACTTACTATATAGTTCTCGAAAATGTATCAAAAATCACTAACAATGTTCTGATTTCCATGTGCGGAATAATTAATCACATGAGAGTAACAATGGATTGAATGTATTATCTTATGCTTGCATAAACCTGTGTTTATATACGCCTATTGCTTGGCATGGCATGGCAATTTGCAAGCTTAAGGACCTAGTATATCGGCAATGAGCCCCGAATACAAGTAGTTTCTTCGTTCGCATTGATAGTGAGCTGTCCGATTCTACTTGCCAGCAAGTTAATATATTTTTGTTGTCTGAAATATGAATTAATCGAGGTATATAGTAAAAATCATTGAACACTATTATTGCAGGACGTAAAGGCTGAGATAAACAGTGTATCTATTCTTAGCCGGCGGATTTGGAAGACTACAAAAGAGGATCTTTTTTCAGCTTTTACAAGTTTACACTGAGTAAACTTGTAAACTTATTATTAGATTATTATGTTTGATGGTTTCATTTTCCGGATAATTAAAACTTTTTTTTTACTTTTTGCTTTTGTTTTACAGATTGAAGAATAACAATGTTGCGGTCTGTTCTTTTTAAGAATTTTGTGAAGTTTGAAAAATATCAGGTGATGGACTTTTCAAGTGATGGGCCTTTCATTCTCATCGGTGAAAATGGGTCTGGGAAAAGTTCCGTTTTAGAGGGTATCCGACGTTGTTTGAAATTAAAGCTGAGTACATCAATGTCTTCGATATTTGATACGAAAACAATGTCTTATTTCATTTGTACAGCTGAAACTGCTGGTTTACAGGATGAAAAAAATGTTATATTCGGTATCGTTGCCATGCCTAAAAAAGGTGCCATGCCTAAAATTGGAAATGAGCTTTTAAATCAAAGTAGTTTATTTTGGTTTTATAAGTTTGCCTTTTCAAAGGATGATCAGATATTTATTGATTTGATTTCTTCATCAGAAGTTTCTGAGGGCGAAGTAGAGCTGATTGTGTCTAACAGTTACACGTGTAGTGATGGCGCATTTATTAAGGCTGTTTTAAATCCTAAGCCCAAAGAGCACGATATAGAGACTTGCATCGATTCAATTTTTGGAAATCTCTACACAGACCAAACACCGTGTTCGGACAAATTAGGACAACTCTTGTGCGATTTAACAAAGCAGTTTGTATTGACATTCCCGTTGCGTTCCATTGGCCCGCTACAGTGGTCTGAAAGTACCCGAATCACCAGTGCATGGCGAAAGGAAAATTACAATGAAGCTGAAAAAAGATGTGAAATAATAAAACATTTCTTAGAAGACAACGGCGAAACTTTTGACAAGGACAAAGAGAAAGAGTATTTCCAACACTTAACGCAGATAGAAAACTACGACTTCACACTTGAAGGTGGTAAGATCTCTTTACCAAAGGGTTTTGCTTTGCTAAAAACGCCAGAAGGGATCTTAGAAGCAAAAGCATTTTCTATCCTTATATCAAGTAAACAATACAGAACTATTTTGCTTGAAGAACCAGATAGGGGAATGCACCCACAAATTCTTGACAGAATGATTGAAATAATCCATCAAGAGAAAGACAAAAAAAGAGTAATACTAACTACACATCGGAAAGCATTTATTACACCCTGGACAGTAAGTGACACATTCATCTTCAAACACACGAAAGCTAACAAAGAAACTCGAATTGTATCTGGTACAGATCTTTTTACTAATAGAAAAGATGGCAGTATGAATAAAAAGGCTTTGTTAACATCACATAATATACCAGATATTTTATTTGCAAGCAAAGTTTTATTTTACGAAGGTCTTTCAGAACATTTATTTCTCGGCGAGTTAAGGAGTCAAATATTGGCTGGAACCGATAGTGTGACCTCAGGAGTGTTTGAAGATGATAAAGTTGAAGCAAACAAGAGATTGAAGAAGAGCCTTATGGAATATACATTGGTTTGTATGAACGGTAGGGACAATCAGACATTTTATCACAATATATCCAAAAAACTCGGTCTTGATTTTTTAATTCTACTAGATAAGGATATTTTATATAAACAACTCGAAAAAGAAAAAAGAAAAAACAGAATCAAAATGGAAACACGAGATGAATTGGCAACGAAAAGGGAAGAGTATTTGAAAGAAAAGAATGTTTTCTTTTGGTTTGATGGCGCTATTGAGGACATGGTGCAAGCGATGTGTAAGAAAAACCAAGGTCTTAAAGATAAGCTTGCAGAGCAGAAAATGGAGTTTCCTCCAGAGGTTAGAGAATGTACTTCAAACGGGCCAAAACTTTTCCTGCATAAAGGTATAAAGAAAGTACATATCACAGAGAGTGTCAAACTTCTGCTTGGTTACTGTCGTCTTGAGGACGATCTTGCTGAATTAATTAAAAAGTTTGTCTAATTAGGTGTATGCACTTTAATAGTATCGTTCGCTGATTTATTTAAAATGTATCTTTTATGACTTTTGTTTTGTTGGTTGCGTTTTTCTTTATAGAAACACAAAATCATAGATATACTTGCCACAGTTCGGATTAAATATATTATGGCATATAAAATAAAAATAAACATTATGATAGATGTGCTTTGCGTTTAATTTAATTAAATTTGACATTCACAATATTTTGGCAACAAAATACAATTTGTTGGATTATAATTGCAATAAAGAAGTCTCTTTATCGTAAATAAAGAAGTCTCTTTATCGTAAAATGTCGTAGAATTGAAATATTTCTCACATCCATCTGTTGTTTTAAGCAGATCATTTAGTAAGAAAATGCAAGATTTGTTCCACAAAAAGATGACCCTAGTATTAGAATATCTTGGTGTACGGATTTATGTTTTTTTTTCTAATTTAAATGTTTCCCTTAGTCGTCTACATGGGTTTAAAAAAAATAAAAACTTGAAAATCACTCGATTACAATGAAAACAAAAATAAAAACTTGATTTGATTGAGTCTGTTCATGAGAGATAATGTATAACTTAACATCTCTTTCACTCTTAGCACCGAATTAAGCAGCTTAATCTTCAATACAAAATGAGTAAATCTATTGCCAGTAAAATACCATTAATAGATGAGACAACAAGTTAAAGTGTCCAATGTAATATACTTAAAATTAAAATTGCCAATTGCGAAGATTGATGTAAAACACAAGCCTTCCGGGCTTAACAGTGTTACATTTTATCACATTTTAGAAGACAATCGTAAATCTATAAACGAGAAAACAGTCCCGGTCTGCTTAACTGTTAAAGAGAAAACGACCTTGCTGCTTTTATTAACATTTTCACTAATAAAAAATATATCAAATGATGCAGCGTCTTACAAGATAAATCCGGACTTCAATGATGAATGAAAGTCTTAAAGATTAAGCTTACACAATTTACTATTCAAACTGAATATCAAATTTTGCACTGTCATATTAATACAGCTCGCAAAATAGGATACTTCAAACACCACTTAAACAAACACAAAAAACAGCGATTGGTGCATGCAGACAGGACGATGACTCTATGCATTTTTTTTAATCTTTCATGGATCGATGAGTAAGAGTTACAATGGTGTTCAGTTACATAAGGAGATAGAAAAAAGACTTAAATAAGAGCTAATTTAAATGGCACAAGTTTATAAACAAAATCGGAAAAGAAGGTCTTTAACGTGTAACTTAAACATAATTACGACAATACAACCTAGAATTCTTAATCTTCAATACAAAAGGAGTAAACTTTTGCCAGTAAAATGCCAATTATATTAAAAATGTACCGGAACCAAAATATTATGCGACTGTTATAAAATAGAAAAAGTAAAACGGTACTGGAATGTGGAAGTAACCGTTCACGCCCCTAGCACCGGCTAAAGCAGAATTTAACATTTGAAGACGAAAATAAGTAGTGTAAAACCATTAATAAATGACTTTGTACATGTTCTAAAGGAAATATTCAGAAACAGGTTTTTAATTAGTTTTTTATCGAAATTCAAACAACAATTTTGTAATCAAATGGCAGGGCAAATAAAAAGTTTTTATATACTTTATCAGGTTTTTTGCCCAAGCATAAACGGTCGTCTACCGAGCCATTGACAAAAGGTCGTACTTGAAACAACTGTTCAACATGTAACAATCTTTACAATGAATTTATAATGCCGCACACTTCCTTCATTATTTTTGTCATTATTTTCTTTTAACTTTGTTGCTAAAATAGAGAGAAATAAAGAACCATAAAGAACGCACAAAACATAAAATTGAAAATGTTGCAGGCTCGGTTTGATTGAACAAGATCATGAACGGTAATTGAAAATGTTTTCAAGTCGGAAATATTGGCACCACCCAACTAGAAAATAGCCGAATAGAAAGAACAAAAAATACAACAAGCACAACGATAATGTTGTGCTGAACGACCTTTAAGGATCAAATAATTATATAATATCCCTGATTGAATGTACGGAGCGACTGTTTACAGCCTCCATATGGCACAAACTACGCTGATGCGGCGATAAAATAGAGAGGTAAACCTTTCTTTTGTTCCTATTTCTTTATTTTAAATTTATTATGTTTTTAATTGACAGTTTTTAACAGCCGGTGCAGACTTTTGTAATCAGTTTTGTCTACTTGAACGTTTCCTCTTTCTGATGGACTTCAGTTCATCAACAATTTTTAGGCTTTTAAATTTCTTTGTATGGTAAATACTCTATATGGATTATTAGCTTTTTGTGCTTAACAAGAATTTTTGACTGCGAGCGATGATATCTCGGGACCACAATTCTATAATCTCATACCGGAAATGTTATACTGTACATTTTGGTGTGTGCATGTTTATGGTATTTTAGTTTATTCTATTGATCTTGATGGGTGGTTCCTGTATTCCTGATTTGAAAAGTGTTGGATCACCGTAAGAATATGTTGTCCCTTTTATAAATTTGTTTGTTATTGTCTTATCTGTGATATGAAGGTTTAATAACTTAATAATTGCTCCCCCTTTAAAATTCCATTTTGTTTAGTTCCGCCCATTGTTTTCTCATTAAGGGCATGCGCATTCTTTAACCTGGAGGTCATACGCTGCTTTTAATACTATTAGAATGACATAAGTGTCTCATTGATAACCACCGTATTAACGTGGGGAATGTTTCTCAATTCCAGTACAAAAAAACCAGCAATGTTCGGAGATACTGGTTTAGCAGACGTAAAATATTTACTGATATGAGATAAGAACCCGTTGACTTTATACATATATATATATATATATATATATATATATATATATATATATATATATATATATATATATATATATATATATATATATATATATATATATATATATATATATATATATATGGTTAAGTAGGCTTAGAAAACAAGTCATTTATCAAAGTGCACAACTTGTATTTCCAAATGCATACTTTATTTGGGTGCATAGCATTGTAGAACTATCGGTTTTAAGCTCGGGGAAAATATCAATATATTTATTGGTATACAGAAGATCATTTTATTTTTACACACCATATGAAGTATATAATCGTTCTAAACACAACGTAAAGAGAATATTTCTTTAAACCATGGCTAGCTATATACATTATTTTTGGATTTCAACAGCTGATTATACCATTAGTAAATTGACCATTATCATTTGTCAAAAACGCCTGTGTAGAAGTCTCGATTGACATGTCAGGCCTACGACAACATAGACCAATTAGTTGGAAATCTTTGTCTTATACTTTTATATCGAACATACAGATCTTGCCTTTCTCACCAAAGCAGTTCGCATAGGCCAATACTCGGCTATGTTATGTTTGTGAACTCAGTTTTATGACACTTGTGAGATACCGGGTATTCTGTTTCTTCTAAGCGTTTCTTGACTACAAATAGACGTTCAATAAAATTTAACTTACCGTTAAAATAACCCTAATCTGATCAAAATTTAATGACTGATCAGTTCTTAACGACTTTTTAATCAAATTTCAATATTAAATTTGTGGCACGATCAATTCTCAAAGCTGAAAAATAACCCTGGTTCAGTTTTCAATATTGAAAAATGACCCATAGGGATTAATTTCAAAGCTCAAAATTTAAGGTTACGCCGTGCTTTGTTTACATTTTCAAATTGTTTCACATACCATTTCCATGCACATACCTATTAATGGTTAATTATCAAAGCTTTTTAAAAAAATAAACATAATCATAATTTTGAAGGGACCAACTGCTTCACATGATAAGCAGCTGTGATATGTCAGTTCTGCAAATTTTGCTACTTTTGACTTGAACATAAAGGCCAACTGCGAACTGAAGCTGAAGCACAGAGGGTGCGATCTGTTTCAGTGCAATTATACCTTACGCCAGAGAAATGTATCCAAATGGAATGGAAGTCTTAAATATAAAACGCGGACAGCAAAATCATTTAAAAATGATCTTAATAACATTTCGTCAACTTCTTAACCTCGACGAACTTCCTTTGCTTTGTGAGATCAGTTGCCTATAATTTGAATTTATGATAAGATGCTATTTTTCTGGGTTCATCACCTCTCCTAGAAGCATCCTATAAAAACAAGAGTTAGTGTTTTTGATTTGTTTTAGACTGGAAGCCATAATGTACTGAAATCTACAAAGTACAAATGTTGCTGCAAAACTGCAATTGAGAAGCTCCGCGCAAAAAATTGCGCTCATTACAGATACCTTACCAAATTATTCCTACGCACAGGTCATGTTATATTCAGATTAAGTACTATTGTACTTTTTCCCCGAATGTTTTTTAAACCATTTTTTGCATAATTATACTTATCTTATGCACTGTCTATAAGAGAGGGACCAAATATTTAATAAAAAAATGCTTTTACTGATGCCTACCTGGTAAGGTAAGTAATTCCATTGAATACAAACAAGACTTACAAGACTTGTAAATGTTATGTGACATGACTGTACTGTGATAAAAATGGGATAAATTTCAAAAAACCAAATTCAGGAATTTTTGTTTGTCATACACGCGTTACATGGTGATACAGTATTTATCAATATAATAGAAGACTGTTACCTGAATTTTAGGCAGGTATGAGGAAAAACTTAAATTATTTCAAAAAGTTCGTTATTTATTACCATATCATGAAACGAATGACCATTTCGTTTAGACTAAAACTACTTCTACAAATAGATTTCGGACTTTCACAATGTTAAGGTATTCTAGCTATTTATAGCTTTCGAATTCATGTACAGCGATACTGTTATTCGTTAATATGACATGCTGCGAATCAGCGAAGGGGAAACCAATATAATAGAAATCGGAAAGAATTCTTGAATCCGAATTTATTTTTAGCTATAAATCGAAGGGATTAATTTGATAAAATCCTGGCCAATGGACAAAAAATAAGAAAAGAGATGGAGACAAACCAGATAGAAAATAAAAGAAACGAAGAAAATCAAGTTTTGAAGAGAAAACATCGATTCAAAAACCAAAACGTGAAAGACATGAAAGGGAGCAGGGTGTAGAACGAATCTCAACAAACACAAAAGCATCGACTCGATCTTGTAGAGGAGAAAATAAAAGTTCTAGAATATACACAACTTGTAAAACATTAGCTAAAGCA